CCTCACTTCTAGACTTTGAATGGGCCATTTTATTAGATGTGATATCAATGTAATTTAACCCAAACTGTTCCACTCTAGTTCTGGCTGTGGGATTAGTGTGGTTCAGTGGGTGAAGTTGAACCAAGGTCAAAATCTCTTTCCTTCCAAGATGGCAATGTGCAGCGCTGGATCCCTAGTGAAAAGTATTCCCACACCATGAAGCATCCAGTGAAATGTAAAATGCATTTCACTGGATGAACACTGAATGCAGTGTGGTGTGATGTATTAGTTTTTTTTCCAAATAAGCCAAAAGTTCTGCTCTTGTCTCCTCTGAGAAGGCCATGTGTTTGCTGTGGCAAACTTTAAAGGGGACTCCTCCAAGTTCTCCTATTGCTACTTCTGCATAAAGGACAGATTTGTTGAGTGTGTATTCCGTAAAAGTTCAAAAAATATCCACTGGACTTGGTTTCCAAGATTTGAAGACGTTTTGCCAACGTTCTGGTGCTCAAAAGAATGTCCTTTGTCCACAAGGTGTAGGTGTACTGCGGAGTCTTGTCCAGAGGAGGCCGCTCTTCTGTGTTGGGCCATTCATCTTTGGAGAGGTTGTTTGGTTTCTCCAATATAAAGATCAGAGCATTCCTCGCTGCACTGAACAGCATATACCACTCTATGGAGAGATATTTGTGCCATCGGTTTGAGCGCGCAGGAACCAATCCGAGCGCGCAGTGAGACAACACGCGCGCGCGCAAAACCGGTCTGGCGCGCGCTCAACTCTGAAAAACCCTCTCAACACACTGTTCTCGCGCTCAGTTTCATCTCTGCGCGTGCTCGAATCCGTCTCTGCTCGCGCTTGCTCTCCTGCTATCTCTCTGCGCTCAACACCAGCTGTGCGCTCGGCTGTTTCTCCGCTCGCTCGACTCTCTGCGCTCGCAACTTCAGCAATGTATGTAAATGAACCATACCATCAGCCAATCACACCCAGCTTCTTTTCATCCAATGAAAGCATTCCTTCCTTCTTCTTCTTTTCTATCATGGCGGTTCGCAAGCAACTTCAAGGTGCATACCGCCACCTACTGTTCATGAGTGTGTAGCAACATTGTTTTACATCTATTAAATTCTATTTTTTAATTTTGCATTCTGAAGATAACTAAATAATGCTTTCCTTAATCTATAAACATCCTTTATATTTCCTTTATTTCCCAATAATCCTTTAAGACTCCATTCTTGGCCTGTCATTTCAACTACTCTTCTCAATTTTTCCCTTTCAGGTTCATATGTTTTACAGTTCATTGTTGAACCATACTGGAACCTGAAATATCCTCCTTATTTTTCTTTTAAAACATCAAATTTAAATCCATGTCAATAGCAGGTAAAAGAGATGGATGAGGCAATGATCTAATAACTGTTTTACTGAAGTTTATTTGAGATAATTCAAGATATTTTATAGTACTATCTTAGGAATGTTGACAAAATAACTGTAAGAGTTGTTTGATTTTCCTGATTGTGTTTTTATTTATTTATGTATTTTTTTTCATCTAACCGGATGTAGTATTTGGAACGAATGCTTACATATTAATGAACTGTAAAACATATGAACCTGAAAGGGAAAAATTGAGAAGAGTAGTTGAAATGACAGGCCAAGAATGGAGTCTTAAAGGATTATTGGGAAATAAAGGAAATATAAAGGATGTTTATAGATTAAGGAAAGCATTATTTAGTTATCTTCAGAATGCAAAATTAAAAAATAGAATTTAATAGATGTAAAACAATGTTGCTACACACTCATGAACAGTAGGTGGCGGTATGCACCTTAAAGTTGCTTGCGATCCGCCATGATAGAAAAGAAGAAGAAGAAGGAAGGAATGCTTTCATTGGATGAAAAGAAGCTGAGTGTGATTGGCTGATGGTATGGTTCATTTACATACATTGCTGAAGTTGCGAGCGCAGAGAGTCGAGCGAGCGGAGAAACAGCCGAGCGCACAGCTGGTGTTGAGCGCGGAGAGAGAGCAGGTCGAGCGAGCGCGAGCAGAGACGGATTCGAGCACGCGCAGAGATGAAACTGAGCGCGAGAACAGTGTGTTGAGAGGGTTTTTCAGAGTTGAGCGCGCGCCAGACCGGTTTTGCGCGCGCGCGTGTTGTCTCACTGCGCGCTCGGATTGGTTCCTGCGCGCTCAAACCGATGGCACAAATATCTCTCCATACCACTCCGCTCATATTCGGTCTGGGGGTTTTATATTTAGGATGCACTAGCCTCTGTTTAAGGGTTTGATTTGGCTTGAAATGTACTGGGATTTTGTGTTTGGAGAAAATCCTCTTGAACTTTTCAGACACTCAAGCAACATAAGGGATTGTGATGTTTTTGCGTTTAATTTTCTCGTCGCTATCTTCTGTTACGTGTCTTTTGGATTTCCTTGCGGATTTGATAAAGAGTGTGTATATCCATGTCAACAGATCCTCCTACCTGAGCTCCAGATCTCTACTGCTCCTCCAGGGCTAACATGTGTAATAAGCAAATCTGAGAAGCTGACAATTCGTGACGCATAATAGAAGTTCTCCAGACCAATAGAGGCAACCTATTCTCATTATGAGTGCGTATGAAATCGTACGAAAAGTTATGCAACGTAATTTCGTACGTTTTGGACGTTATTTTCGTTGTATGCGCATCTGACGCACCATTCACGAATATAGAATATAAATTACAATTAGCCCTAACCCTGACCCTAACCCTAAAATATAAAACAGCGTAGTTAGAGACATAACGTAGACACAACGTAGTTAGAGACATGAATAAGTGATGATTGCACTGTTTTTCCCAGTTTTACGCAGGTGCGCTGGAAGCTGTTTCAAGCGAGGGGGGCTGATGGCTGGGTTGGAAAACACATGACGTCATTATGTTGAGGGCTGTGGCTGACGTTTTTAACATAATATTGTAGGCCTACATTTGTCGCCAAAAACTCCCATTTAAAATGCATCGGAACAAAGCATGAGCATTTTAAACTTTATTTCTTCTCTTTTAATCATTCAAAACAAACAACAGCTCCCAATCAACAGGATCAGTAATACTTGAATAAAACATGGCCTAAATATAGCCTAAACTGAGCATTGAACGTCTTGAAAGTCCATTCGACTATGGATATGGGGAATGATTTCATATCTGAAACAAAATACACACAAAAAAAAAATTAACTAATTTCAAATTTTATCACTAAATAGCTTAATACAGACATAATATTTAGTGATATGCAGCCTTATTCTAGCGTAGACTTCTTAAGCCACAGGACTACGACGAATAGGCACAGCATATAGAAATAAATAAGAAATTAACGCTAAATAAATGCTCGGCGGTAGTATAGGGGAATTAAAACCACTTCTTACCTCGAAATAGTCAGAAATACGTTTCTGCTGCCTATTGCTAGCCATGCCTTAACGAATGTGAGGTGGCGGAAGCTTCCGGGGGAGTAGCCTAGTTTTTTATGAAATATTAAAATTATGAATCATTAGTTTATATCTTATACACAGCCCATCATTTTAATCCCATATCAAACACAGTCTTTTAAAAAATAAATACATAAATAATGTCATGTTTTTAAGTACAATATTATGTTACTCCACAGCCCCCCACCATGGGGGGCTGATGCTATGACGAGGGAGGCTGAAGCCCCCGCAGCACCCCCCTTCCCGTGCCACTTGTTTTACGTCCGTCCGCAGATCTGCTTTTTTTTTTCTGTCTGCCAGCGCATGCGCACTGATGTGTTTTTTTGACGAAAAACGTCCAAAACGTACGAAATACTGTGCATAACTTTTCGTACGATTTTATACGCACTGATAATGAGAATATGTTGATAGATGATGACGATCATTAACTTATATGGGATCAGATCCTTAGTAAAGGCATAAATGGGATGATAAGAGCAAATAAATTGCAGCACACTGCTGTGGGAGTTTAGCTATATTGGTATCAACTGTTAAAAAAAAAACAACACAAAGATAGACTGTTTAGAAATTAAATAGATTTTCGCAGGGTGCTCTGTGTAATTCAGAAAGGGAGCCTGAGTTAAAAACAGCATATATATCTTTTTTCCATTTCTCTTCACTGCTTTGAAAAACTATGTTTTGCATCTTATGTAAAATGATTTTGGCTACATTAAAGTTTGCTGCCATAATTGGACAAAATATGTAAAAGTTTGAGCTGTAAGAGACACTTTGTGGGACATTGTAAAACATAATAAGGCCCCTGTGTGAATTATTAAGGAAAAAAAAAAAGAAACACATGATGAGGATGGTCACCAATGCCAGTGGGAAAAGCCTTAATGCTGACAAGTTAGGAAAGAAAGAGAGAAGGAGGTTTCTCTATTTGAGCATTCCCTGCCGTCTGGCACCATTTAATTGTGTCTTAGCATGAGCTTTTCCAAAAGTGGTTTTAAAAGAAACAATAATGTCTCTTTGTTCTAATCTTTGTGGCTCTTTCTGCATTAAATCCTGCAGTGCTGACTGACTTTAATGTCAAATAAATGATTAGTTTGTTAACAGAATCCTTTCAATAATTGAACCATTTTCCTTAAAGAAAAATATGTTTCAAATACTCTTTTGTTATTGAAAAACAGAATATAAAGACTGTGGTTATTTCTTTTGAATCCTAACATTTAACTTAATTATGTCCGTATTGGAGCTGTATTGTTTTTTAGTTGTGAGTACCACTGTCCCACAGCCAGGAAGTAGAGTCTTTCTGTGCGGAGCTCACATGTTCACCCCGTACATGCATGTTTTTTTTCTTGTTCCTCTGGCTTCTCCATTGCATGCATGGTCAGTATTCTCTCTGAATGTCTCCTGTGTGAGGGTGTAAGATTGTCCTTCCTGCGTGTGTTTGTGGTGCTGCTACAATGGACTGGGTGAGCCTCGTCTCTAACAGACTGACGCACTCTGAAAATCTCTCCTACACGGTACACCTATAAAAAGAAACTGTTAAGAAAAGATGTGGATCTGTCTACCTGTGTGTAACACAGTCTTCTTCCTTTCTGCAGACTTCTGATCACCAAAGAGTGGATCCACTGGGGTCATGGATGGATTTTGTCAAAAGACCTGTTGGAAACTTCCCGGGAAAGTGTCGCAAACGCAAACGACCTCTGGTAAACAAAATCAGCTTTATTAGTTCCTTAAAAAAATATATATTTCATCTCACTGATTTGATGCACATAACAATAATTTATATAAATTATTTTCTCTTCCACCAGCCAGGACCACCGGGGCCCCCTGGTCCTCCGGGCCCTCGAGGACCTCCTGGCTCCCCAGGAGCTGAAGTGACCCAGAATGTTCTTTTGCAGGAATTCAAAGAGATGATTAAAGGTAAACACAACTACCGTAATATACAAAAAAAAGGTGCAACCATCCTGACTCTGTAGGATTTAAGAGGAAAGGTAGCACTGGAAAAACCATCTAAAAATAAGTCAAAATTCCTTAAATCAAGTGTATTTACCCTTAATTTGAGTAGGTAAATGAGATAGTTTGCCAATGGAATGAGTATTTCTACTCTTAAAATAATATATTTACATAAAATGCACTTGAAATAAGACGATGCAATTGTGATTTCTTATTTTAAGCGTAAATCGTCTTGTTCCATTGGCAAAGTGTCTCTTTTACCTCCTCAATCCAAGAACAAATGCACTTATTTTAAGAAAAAATGGCTCATCTAGATTTTGATTTTTACCAGTGATAAGGTGCTGCTTTTGACTGATGGCCTTAATGAATTTGCAGGACGTTATTCAATAAAATATCTATTGAGGTATATAAGCTATGACCCAACAGAAACAACTTTTAACTATTAGAAGGCATAATTCTAACGGCGAAGGAAAAATCAAGACATTAGAACACCCACCATCTTTCTTGTCTGAACAATACTCTGAAAAATAGCAGAAAACCCAAGAGCTCAATATCAGACTATATAGTTTTCAGGTAGCATGTTTAATGTAAAATCATAGTTTGAAAAGTCTGGCAAAGGTTTGTTGCACAGGTTAGGTTTCAGAGGTGGGTAGAGTACCCAAAAAAGTGCGTCAAGACAGAATAACGCTACTTTAACATTTCTTTTTTATCACAAGTAAAAGCAGTCAGTGAATAAATTAATAATTTAAGAGACAAAAAAGTAAAAAAAAAGTTAAATTGTTAATCAATTATTGAGTTACTGTTTGCTCCTTAAATATGAAGGAATGTTTTAAATGGTGCAGTCAGACAGCAAGTTACGTGAAAACTCTGGTATTTCAAATTGTAAAATAAAATACAGACATACACTATATTGCCAAAAGTATTTGCTCACCCATCCAAATTATTGGAATCAGGTGTTCCAATCACTTCCATGGCCACAGGTGTATAAATTCAAGCACCTAGGCATGCAGACTGTTTTTACAAACATTTGTGAAAGAATGGGTCGCTCTCAGGAGCTCAGTGAATTCCAGCGTGGAACTGTGATAGGATGCCACCTGTGCAACAAATCCAGTCGTGAAATTTCCTCGCTCCTAAATATTCCACAGTCAACTGTCAGCTGTATTATAAGAAAATGGAAGTGTTTGGGAACGACAGCAACTCAGCCACGAAGTGGTAGGCCACGTAAACTGACGGAGCGGGGTCAGCGGATGCTGACGCGCATAGTGCGAAGAGGTCGCCAACTTTCTGCAGAGTCAATCACTACAGACCTCCAAACTTCATGTGGCCTTCAGATTAGCTCAAGAACAGTGCGCAGAGAGCTTCATGGAATGGGTTTCCATGGTCGAGCAGCTGCATCCAAGCCATACATCACCAAGTGCAATGCAAAGCGTCGGATGCGGTGGTGTAAAGCACGCCGCCACTGGACTCTAGAGCAGTGGAGACGCGTTCTCTGGAGTGACGAATCGCGCTTCTCCATCTGGCAATCTGATGGACGGGTCTGGGTTTGGCGGTTGCCAGGAGAACGGTACTTGTCTGACTGCATTGTGCCAAGTGTAAAGTTTGGTGGAGGGGGGATTATGGTGTGGGGTTGTTTTTCAGGAGCTGGGCTTGGCCCCTTAGTTCCAGTGAAAGGAACTCTGAATGCTTCAGCATACCAAGACATTTTGGACAATTCCATGCTCCCAACTTTGTGGGAACAGTTTGGAGCTGGCCCCTTCCTCTTCCAACATGACTGTGCACCAGTGCACAAAGCAAGGTCCATAAAGACATGGATGACAGAGTCTGGTGTGGATGAACTTGACTGGCCTGCACAGAGTCCTGACCTCAACCCGATAGAACACCTTTGGGATGAATTAGAGCGGAGACTGAGAGCCAGGCCTTCTCGTCCAACATCAGTGTGCGACCTCACAAATGCGCTTCTGGAAGAATGGTCAAAAATTCCCATAAACACACTCCTAAACCTTGTGGACAGCCTTCCCAGAAGAGTTGAAGCTGTTCTAGCTGCAAAGGGTGGACCGACGTCATATTGAACCCTATGGATTAGGAACGGGATGTCACTTAAGCTCATATGTGAGTCAAGGCAGGTGAGCAAATACTTTTGGCAATATAGTGTATAAATAGCCTGATTACACATTAATAAATTTGTGCAGAAGAAACACTTTTCAGGTAAAGTTTTTAACTTATAAATTTAATCTTCACAGTATGTAATGCCCATATGCTTGGAAAGGATGAAGAATTTCCAGCATTTATGTGCTATCCATCAATTTTCCGTCATGCTGGTGCCTATCTCCAGCTGTCTACGGGCGAAAGGCGGGGTCCATTCTGGACAGGTCGCCAGTCCACCGCAGGGCAGCACAGAGACAAACAGGACAAACAATCATTCACACCTGAGGAGAATTTAGAGAAGCCAAGTAACCTAACAGTCATGTTTTTTGGACTGCAAGCCGGAGTACCCGGAGAGTACCCACGCATGCACAGGGAGAACATGCAAACTCCATGCCCCAAGCCGAGACACGAACTTGGAACCTTCTTGATAAAGTCAGCAGTGCTACCCACTGTGTCACTGAGCAGCCCTATCATCTATCATTATCTGTATTTTAACCTGATCTTTAAATAGCTTAAGCTACTCATGGTTGGTAGAGTAACCAGAATATACTCAAGTAAGAATATTGATACTCTTACAAGACTGTTACATAATTAAAAGTAAAAAGCACAGTAAAGTCCCCTGAGAGTATATGTATCCACTAAATGTTACTCAAGTAATTGTAATATTTACTACTGGTGGTTCATTATGCAGCCAAGCCAGACCAAAAATAGTGTGTTTTGATCAGAATGGTTAAAAACAAACAAAAAATAAACCTAAAAATGAGTATTTAATTTCTGCTATGGAGCATGGTGGAGGAGGCATGTTGATGTGGGCTTTTTCTTCAGCCACTGTAAGCCTGAATCCTCTCTATAGGCAAGTTATTTTAGATTCTAATATGAAGCCACCTGGCCAACATCTTGAACTTGACTATCATTAGTTCATCCAGAGGACAATCATCCCAGTCATAGCAACAAATCTACAATAGAGTGACTGAAGGGAAAAAGGATTAAGGCAAGACAAAGGCCAGAGCTCCACATGATGGAAATGCTGTGGAGGAACATTAAGCAGAGAACAGGCAAAGGAAACTACAAGCCACTTAGTCATGTTGTTTGCTTAAACTTTCACACAAATTTGCAGACATCTTTACTGAATGAAAAATGAAACGTTCTTTGCGTGTTTCTTTGTTTTGAAATTGAGGTTGCTGATCTGTAAAAAACAGTTTTTGGCAGATTTTCTCTCCTGAAAGAAAATTTGCTTTTTTTTCTTCAAATCATGCTGTGATGGCAAGAGTTCAAACATCACATCAATTATAATAATGTGGTGGGACCATAAGAAAGCTGTACCTACTGTAAATGAATAAACTGAACCAGCATTTTCACGATGAGTGAAACTTATTGCTCCTAAAGGTGGTTCCACTGTTGAATTATGGGGTGTTTTGATTTTTTTACCAAGCTGTATTGACAATAATTGATATGGAGGGAATTTTATTCCATTATTGTTATTTCTGGAATACAGTTTTATTCAAAATTTTGCTTAAAGGTACACTATGCAACCGGTGTTGATTTTCCAGTGAGGCTCCCTCCAGAGGGCGAAAGTAAAAGTGCACTGTCGTAAATATGCACAGCTGTTCTCCTGGTTTCTCCGTCAAGCCAGGCGCGGTTGTTTTGAGCTTAGCAGCTGCGTTCACACTGGACGTAGCTGGCGCGACAGAAGCAGCGAGTTTACATGCAAAGTCAATGGTTGACGCGCGTCAAGGCGCAGCAAAAGGTCCCGCGGCGCGTTTTGAGCACCATGCGCAGCACGTCTGAGCAGCTGAAGCAGCGCGTCGGGTGCGTTTAACGCAGCGGAGAGAGACACAGCGCTGATGATCACTCCTCTTAAACAGTTTGACGCCTAAATTAACTTAAAATGCAGAAATCTGCCGGCAGAATATGCAGTTTGGATTATTTAGATGAAAAATACCTACCAGCTGCCGCGGTGAACCGCTGCTGATGAAGGGATCCATACTGTCAGCGCCCCGCTGGTATGTGGGGGTCTGAGCGGCTCCGACAGAAAAAATATTGAAGGCAGGATAATAATCTGAATGAACTGACTGCACTGATTACGTTTTCAGGTGTATTTTCTCACTTAAACACATATTAAAACTACTTTATTCCCACTGATCACAGCAAATATAGCTCCAAGGCAGAGAAAGGATAGTGAAGCTCCACCCAACGCGCCTCAGACACAGCCAGAGCAGCAAAGCTGCTTCAGCCACGCGTCAGAACTAACTGGTACAAGCAGCAAAAAGGAAGCTGCAGACGCGATTTTGCTGCTTTTGCTGCGTGAATGTAGCATAACTGCACAAAGATTGCCACTGTGCTAGCAACGAGAATGCTTTTAACTGGGGGCGTGTAGCAGTTCTCGCCGTAAAGCAAGACTGACTCTCACGAGACTTCTGAGCCTGTGGGTGCGGGTCGGTGCTCCTGCAGTTGCAAGTGCAGTATTTCCCCCACAGACCACCAGGGCGGCCGAGAATACCTTTGTTCAACCTGAAATGACTCATTTAGTCATCCATAACGTTATGGAACACATTAATTAACTGAAAAATGTTGCATAGTGTCCCTTTAAAAAATAGTCTGTGCTTGCAACAATAATATATAGTTAGATGGATTCTTTTTCTCATGAAAGTACATTTTTTAGCTTTATTTTTGATTTAACCCTTTAAAAGCCTGATCCAAGAATAAAACAAAACAGAAAATTACTTTTTTTGGTTTGAAGTCCTTATTTGGCCTTTTAACAAAATATGTAAAAAGAAAGAACAGAAATAAATTTTTGATATTAATAATTTATTACTATGCGATAAGTCAATATTTTTTTTGTCTAGTCTTCTGCCCTCTGTTATCAGGTATATCTGATTGTGTACAATAGGATTTTGAAAGTTTTTACCATTAAATTATGCAAAAGGTGTCAGACGCAATAAATTTCAGAAACCATATGTATCAAATACGATACATTTGGCACACTGGAAAAAATCTAAATCTAGATCAGTAATTTTTTTCTTAAAATAAGTGCATTTGTTCTTGGATTGAGGAGGTAAAAGAGACATTTTGCCTATGGAACAAGAAAATTTACATTTAAAATAAGAAAACACAATTGCATTGTCTTATTTCAAGTGCATTTTATCTAAATATATTATTTTAAGAGTAAAAATACTCATTCCATTGGCAAATCATCTCATTTACCTACTCAAATTAAGGTTAATACACTTAATTTAAGAATTTTTAACTTATTTATAGATTGTTTTTCCAGTGCATTACAGGGTTAAGTAGCCACTTGCTCTGCCTTTTAAAAATAACAAGATAAAAAATAGTTACATTTTTTATAATTATTCTCTTAGAACATTATGAAAGAAAAGTGAAAGGTTTATAGTGAAGGGACTTTGGCTGTTTTCCTCCCAGAGGCAACAGAGAGGAGGGCAGCAGCACTCGACAGGCAAACGAGTCCTAGCCAGCAACCTACAGCCCTCCTAACGCTGGAGGGAATGGCCCCCCACCGCCGAATACAAGAAGCTTTCCACTGCAAGCTCAAGGGACCTGTGGTGGTGGACAAGAAGACTTTGGTGGAACTCCAGAACTTTCAGACAGTGAGTTTGTTTAAAACCAACAAATGTTTTTGAATCAGTCCAGCTTTGCTACCCGACTTGTAGAAGTAATGTTGTAATCCTTCTCCACGCTGTTATTTGCTTTGTTTTTCTGTCCTAACTGTGAAAGAGGGAGTATTTGGTCATTGCTTGTTTTGGATGCCCCCCTCCTCTCCACCCCCCACACGGTAAATGGCATTGGCAAAGCATGGAGTGCCATTCTAAGACTCAGACTGCCTCTTTGGTCAAAAATATTCCCCCTTTTCAATGCTACACATCACTCCCAGGGCAGCACACAAAGGGCACTCTGTCTCTGAATTGGAATAATGTGTGTAGGGGACAGAAATAGAGTCTGTTAGAAGAGGCATGCTTCAGTAGAAGAACTATGGCCTGTTAGGATGGGCGGACATGCTGTGGCTGGAGGAGGGACAATTATATGCCAATCTTTTTAATATAGTTTTATAATAACATGTTACCACAGCCTTAGACAGTTATGGCTTAGGTTTCCTCAGGAGTCAAAAGTAAGAAAGAATAGGAGACACTTGAAATAAAACACAGAAGCAATTGATTTGAGCTCTGCCAGAAAAAACTCCTTCCAGTGAAACATCATTTAAAAGCAATTCTGTCTCTGTGATGTAGAACTATGGTTGAAAACTTGAAGTTTAAAATAATGAACACTGGGAAAATTCGATATCTAGATAAGTCATTTTTTCTTAAAATAAGTGCGTTTTTTCTTGAATTAAGGAGGTAAGTAAGACACTTTGCCAATGGAACGGGAGAATTTACATTTAAAATAAGAAAAAAACTATTTCATTGTCTTATTTCAAGTGTATATTATCTAATTACCTTATTTTAAGAGTAAAAATTCTCAATCCATTGGCAAAACATCTTATCAACCTACTCAAATCAAGGGTAAATACACTTAATTTAAGACATTTTGACTTATTTCTAGATCGTTTTTGCAGTGAAGCTCCTTTTTCTAATGCAGAGTCCAGATTAGATTCTGATCTTAGAACCCCAACGTGTCGATTCTGCCTGTCACTCTTCCGTGAGAAAAGGAATTGATGATTTATAGTTATATTTTTTGTTTTTTCTCTTTTCTTCTATGGTAGTGATTTGGTGCACTTTTGTTTATATGTTCCTGGTACCTAATATGAATATTTGCACAGACCAGGGAAGAAGGTCTAACTTCTTCTATCTTCTTCCTTTTTCGTTTGTGGTGTATAATGATAAAATTATGATTAAGATATATTGTAATGACTGTAATCATGTCAACCATGAAAGAAAGAAAGAGTATCTTTTATTGTAATTAGCTTAATTATCATGGTTTTGCTTTAGTAACCTTATATAGCCGTTTATGTGAGGATTCCCTAAAGCAAAGGTTTTGAAAGTGGTGGGTGCGCGCCCTAGGAATGGCCTAGTGTAATGCAAGTGCTTGTTGACATGTGGAAGATGAAAGTATGGAAAAACTGGGCCTTAAATATACTGGCAGGGGCAGATTTAGGAAATTTGTGGCCCTAGGCAAAGACAGGCAGGGGGCCCTCTTAACTGATACAGAAATTTGATTAGAATAGACATCCATTATTTGTTCTAGGTTTTGTCCCTCTCTTCTATGTTTTGTACTCTGAGTTTTCATTCTGTCTCAAAAGGAATGAAAGTTTTTTTCCAAGCACTAAGCTCACTTAGCCGATTGCTCCTTCCTGTGTTTCCAAAAAGGCGACGGCAAAAATAAATAACCCAGTCCTACTTTCCACTGTGGACAAGCCATGATCTGCTTATCTGTTCTCCATTTTTCATTTGGATGAAATAATAGCTGCATGAATCATGACAGCAGACAAGATAGAGGAGAGCAGGAGGCGGGGTTACCAATCTACTTGCTCTGGAGAGCAGAGTTTGGTGCTTTTATATGATGTCGCCAAAGTCTCCAGTAGTAGAAAAAAGTTGCTAGATTTGGCGCAAGTTTTTTTAAAATAAAAATGCTAGAGGGGTCTGAAAATTCACTAAATATAGCAACAAAAGCACTAAGTTTGCAAGCTGAGACACACTTAATATTATAAGCGTTCTGATGGCATTTTAGAGAAAGAATTTTGATCAAAAACATAATTAATTAGCACAAATAAGGAATAGTTGTATTAACCATACATGTAAACAGAGTTTTATGGGGCCCCCAGGAACTTGCCTAATGTTAAATCCCTCCCTGTGTTCAGAGCCTCTTCAGTTGCACACATTTAGACTCTCCAAATAAGCTGACATTCATGTTCTTGCACTGTGCAGGGAATGTCATGTCATGGATCCCCCTAGAGGTCAAAACTCACAGCTCTCCCCCTACTTTCAATATAGTTTTGCTTCGACAAATCTAAAGTCTTGTTAAGTTTATGCCGCGCATCTCCACTAATTAATAACCATGTTCCATTTCCCAAACTACTTTTAATCAACTAATCTTTGAAACCTTTAATATATAGTTTATTTTCAGCTTCATTGTTAATGAAGAGAGAAAACAACTTAGTGAAGCCGTTGTTGTCCCACAGAGACCCATGTTTCCCTGTAATATTTGAGCTCTTTCTTTGCTTTCAGCCACCTGCTAAAGGAGCTTTCCTCAGAGGAAAAGGGATGGATCAGTCAACAGGGAGGTTCACAGCCCAAATAACTGGGATCTACCAGTTTTCTGCAAACGTCCACATCGGTGAGTCACAGTAACTTTCCTTTATGTATTTCTTTTTTGCACAGTAAAGCCTTAAATCCCCCAATACACCCACATACGTGTTCAGACTCTTGCAAGCAAATTATAAGGAGACAGAGAGTGTTTACATTGACCTCACCCTCGCACTTATGTGGATTCTGTTAAAAATGTTAAAACATCATCATCATCCTTATCCACACATGTTGAAAACAGCCAAGGAATGGCTTTGATTCCGTTTTCAAAGTGAGGAAAGCCTAGCATATATTATACCTGTTCACCGTGTCGATATGCAGCGCATAATGGAGAAAACACAATTTTTTTTTCATTTCTTTTAGATAATTTTTTAGGCTCTAGAGGCCTTTAATCTTGGGATTTTTGGAAAGTAAGAAGGCAGTGGCAAAAGTTACAAGATCAGGACTCAAACCTGGCACTGTAACCTCAAGGAGCAAAGCCTCTGAACGTTGGTCAAACCCTTAAACCCTGGCCACTGATGCGCCTGCTTTTTTCGAATTCGAATAAGACATCTTTACCAAATGTTGTAGAGATAAAGTTATGTGACATGAGATCAATGGAAATATAAATTAGTTCCATCTGCCCAAAAACTAAAATTGAAGGGTTATTTATTCGTCCTGTGAGCAGTGTTGGGCACGTTACTTTGAAAAAGTAATTAGTTATAGTTACTAGTTACTTCTCACAAAAAGTAACTGAGTTACTAACTGAGTTACTCCACAATAAAAGTAACTAGTTACTAGTAAAAGTAACTATTGAGTTACTTTTGTGTTTCTCGCCCCCGTAACCCTCACCACCCGGACCCCACCTTCTCGCCATGTGTTCCATCCATCCATCCATCATTTGATCGTTCACGCTCTCCATAGTTCCCCTGTGGCGCAAGCACAGCGCGGCTGTTACGCGCCTTTAGCGAGCATGCGCATTTCCTGTCGCTTGCGCGGTGAATCGTGCCGCCTGCGCTGTGCGGAGATGCAGGGGAAACTATCTGATGGGGAAACGCAGCTCGCTGGAGTCCTCATCACTCTCCATCTCTCTTTTCGTTAACACCCGTAACCAGTGTTGGGAAAGTTCTCTTTCTACAGTTCCAAAAAATGAACTAGTTCATAGTTCTTTTTTTTTTTTTTCATATATTGCTTAATTACACCATAGCCTACTGTAGAACCACAGACAGCAATTGTTTTATCAGTTGTAACACTGAAACTGTGTGTCAGATTTCATCTTTATATCCAGTTTTGAATCCTTATCCAACCAGGGTTTACATTAGCATTGAGGGAACAGCATTTCCCCATTGTTGCTTTAATGCTTTGTTGCTGTCCATTCACTTCACAGTAGCAGCAGCAGCTTTCACCCCTACAGTATATATTCAAAAACATCAGGAAAAATGTGCTGCTTGAATGGTCTTTTTTATGAGAAATTATTAAAAGAAAAACAGGAAAGTAGTCTTTAAGGAGCAAATGTTTTTTTTATTTTTTTCTATTATTTTTTCCATTTGAAATTTCATTTCAGTACATACTAAAAAGGAATACTGGAATCCTGGAAAATTATACCAGGCAGATTTAAGTGCGGATTTTTTTACTGAAAGCCGGCGGGCAAAGTTTGCAGAGAAATGTAAGATTGTTGCCATCATCCTCACCGACCACCTGGTCATAAAACTGTTTTAAGTGATCATACTGCTGCTTTGTCGCATCCACGGTCGTCTCCATGCTGCTGTGGCTTTCACACTTCATTTTGTTTTGATGACGCACGCGGCTGTAGGCTACGACACTGGTAGCTGGTGTTGCCAGATTGGGTTTTTTCCGCTACATATTAAGGCCTGTTTACGGTGTGATTTAGCCGGGGTTTCGCCTGGAGGGCTCTATAGAAATCTGGCAACCTATTGAACGAAGTTGAACTGAGAGAGCGTGCCGTTCACAGACACCAGAATGAACGAGTTCACAATAACGTTCGCCCAAAATATGAACGAGTTCATGAACTTTCGTTCAATGAACGCGTTCAGGCACAACACTGCCCGTAACAGCCAATCTCATCCTCCCCTCTCTCATGACGCGCGCACGAGTCCTATCATGAAAAAAGGTTAATTGTGCGACCTGAGTAACGTGCAGTAACGGGGTGTCGGCAATTGTAACTGCGTTATAGTTACTTTAAGTGTACCGTATTTTAACGACCATAAGGCGCACCGTACTAAAAGGCGCACTCTCAGTTATGTGTCCCATTTCTGTATTTAACACACACATAAGGCGCACCGGACTATAGGGCGCGTTTTTTATATACAGGTACATGTCCTCTACTACGTTTAAATACCTCTACTGCGTATTTAAAAATACAGCGGGGGCAAAACTGAGTATGATTGTGCTCTATTCATGTATTTATTACAAAGTATTAATAAAACCTGGGAGCTGACCGTGAGACAGACACATCGCAGATGACACAGCGCTGTGATTACTCCTAAATTAACTTAAAATCATGAAACCTGCCGACGGAATATGTTCGCTTTTATTACCGGTATCCTGGTGCCTTCAGTTTAAATTATTTAGATGAAAAACACCTGCCAGCCACCGCGGTGGCCGACCGACCAGGCCCAGAGGCTGCTGATGAAGGGATTTCTACTGTCGGTGTACCGCTGGTATGTGGGGGTCTGAGCGCCTCCGACAGAAATAGTATAGGCAGGATAATAATCTGGATGAACTGACTGCAATTATTAAGTTTTCAGGTGGACTTTCTCACTTAAAAACATATTAAAACTACTTTATTCCCACTGATCACAGCAAATATAGCTGCAAGATTTAGATTATTTAGATGAAAAAACACCTGCCAGCCACCGCGGTATACGCGGAGGAGACCCGGCCCAGAGGCTGCTGTTGAATTAAGTTTTCAGGTAGAAAAATAGAGCGGGAGCAAAACTGAGTATGATTGTGCTTTATTCATGTATCTATTACAAAGTATTAATCAAACCCATCAAAGTCATCATCCTCTGTTTCTGAATAAAACAGCTGCGCTAAATCAGACATGCCAATTTCCCCTTCTTCGCTGTCAGAGTCACTTTCCGTGCAGCGCGGCTCCTCAGAAATAATGCCGGCTTTTGCGAAAGCTTGAACAACAGAGCCAGCAGACACGTTAGTCCAAGCATCTACAATCCATCCGCAAACGGTGGCGTAACTTGCCCGGCGCTGCCTTCCACTTATCCTGAAACTGTGGTCTCTGTCGGTCATCCATCGCTCCCAAGCCGCTCGCAGCCTTACTTTGAACGGCCGCTTCACACCGATGTCGAGCGGTTGAAGTTTCTTTGTAAGACCCCCCGGGATAACGGCGAGCACAGCGTTCATTTGATTCACCTTTTTTTTCACATCGGCTGTGAGATGGGCACGCAGCGATGGTGATCCGTGGAAAAAACCACCTGGTCTCCTCACATACACCTGCCTCAGCCACGCTTTCATCATCTCCTCATCCATCCAGCCTTTTCCATTTGCGTTAATATCATGTCATCAGAGCGCTGTGTCTGTCTCGCTGTCAGCTCCCAGATCAGCTTCTCTGATTGGTTGATGCGGCGCGTCCAGCAGCAAAACTTCAATTTTTCCATCTCGAGCAGCAGCAGCGCGTTGGCGGTGCGTCAGATGCTTAAACGCTCCCGACGTGCTGCACCTGCTGCTCAAAACGCGCTGCGGGACCTTTTGCTGCACCTATACGCGCGTCAACTATTGACTTTGCATGTAAACTCGCTGCTTCTGCTGCTCCTGCTGGGTCCGGTTCACACCGATGTCGAGCGGTTGAACAGCGAGCACAGCGTTAATTTGTTTCCCCATGTTTTTCACATCAGCTGTGAGATGGGCACGCATGGAGTTACATATTAACAGCGATGGTGATGAGTGGAAAAAAAACACCTGGTCTCCTTACATTCAGCCACTCTTTCATCATCTCCTCAATGAGGTGGTCTCAAAAGTCGCAGTTACAACACACATAGGGCGCACCGCACCAAAGGGAGCACCGCACATTTTGAGGGAAAAAAAAGACGTTTAAGTGCGCCTTATAGTCGTGAAAATACGGTAATAATTTTGATTACTCGTTACTAAAAAAAGGTAACGCCGTTAGTAACGCCGTTACTCCTATCACTGCCTGTGAGGTAGTATCATTAGAAATTAGGTCAAATCATCCCTGACATAGGTAACCTGTTGGATTTGCTTAAGAGGAAGCCTAGGATGTGACCCATGGATCTGGATGATCTAAAGACCAAAGAAAATCATCAGAGATCTTATACCCCATTTACACTACCCTGAGATAACTGTTGAGTGTAACTGGAATGCAACTGAACTGGACCTTGCCAGACACAATCAAACTGCGCTAAATATAGTTCCAGTTCAACATTAGGGCTCAGCACAGTTAATCTGTGGCTCGGTTCTCTGCTGACAAAGACAGATGAGCAGATTGTGTAATTTCCTATTTCACTCAGCTGACTCCTTCCGCAGGTTTTCCGGCGTTTCTGGCTTTGCAATTCACAGATCTCTGCAACTGTTCCCATCACGAACTTCTTCTCAGTCTATTTACAATAAATGGTATCAAAAGAGCGTGATGCGACCTGGGATGATGCAGAGACTGAGGTTTTCATTGAGATTTGGAAAGAGGATACTATCCAGGCACATTAGTTCATGAATGTTAAGGGCGCCACCATTTTTGTTTGCATAATTCCCTCTTTGAGAGCTGTAGTATCAGACCGCTGATAGGAGGCGAGGAACCGTGCTAGCGTAATGTGTAAATGAACGTAAAAGCCAAGCTCGGGATGGTTAACTGATCCAAGCTCGGTCCGAACTCGGCATGGATCGGTTTCATAGGGTTTGTGAAAACATTAGCCTCTTCATAATCCAACAATGAACTCATAAAAATATTTCACCCAAATTTCAAGAATTCTGTAATTCTATGACAACCAATTCCCATTCATTTGGTCTTAGTTGATTTTAACACAAACCTATTTAAAAAAAAAAACCTTACATAATTATTTAAAGTACATAACTGTCAAACTTTATGTATTTAGAATCAATAAACTATACTATGATCATATTTATTTCAAACACAAAGTTTATTCTTTTAGTGAATAATAAACAGGTTATCTTAATTCAATTCAAACATTAAACCTTATGTATTTAAAATATAAATGCTTGTTAGTATTAATACTGAGTAAGTATACTTTATTATTCTAAAGACATAAAACTGATTATTATTTATTTCAAATAAATAAACTTGATTATGCAAATGGGTTTGGATCATGTAAGAAAGTAAAAATCCTGCCTTTTTTTCCTTCATCCTGTTCACTTAACCAGGTGATTAGGTCCTCAGCTCATTATTCTGTGTTGTGGAGCTGGAAATGAAAATGGTTCGAACTGATTTCTGTACAGGACTTTTACTTTCTGGCCTCGAAATATCAACCTCTGAGTAGTTTGTTACGAGGAAAGAGAGATTTTTAGCGTGTGGTAGGATTTTTATGTACCTCATAGCTCTTTCTGTGCTGACGCCAGCCTTTGTATGTATGGAATTTGCTTGATAATCCATTCAAAGCTGCAGTTTTCAATGTTAATGGCAAACTCTTTTTTAACCACACTTTTATGTGACTTCTAATAAATATATATTGTTTGCATAGATCACTGAACAATCAGCTTATTTATCATTATCTTGTGTGCATCTGTCAGGACATAAGTTAAGTTTTATTAGAAAATTCATTTCAGATTCATATCAGCCATAATCATCCAAATTTAGAGAAAAAAAGGTTATTCGTATTTCACTGTGTGTAATTAATCTGCATGGGTTTTTTTTTTTTTTGCAGTTTTACATTACTTTTTAGATAAATACATTATAACCCTTTATATACCTTATTATTATTTAATTCGTTAAGGATCCAGATGTATAACACACCTGGAACAGTCGTGTCAATATGTGTGGATAAATATGTTGAACTGTTTGATGTTAACGTTTCGCTTCTTTGCAGATCACAATGAGGTGAAGAGGAGCAAAAGCCAGCTTAAAGCCAGAGACAACATCCGTGTGTTGATCTGCATTGAATCCCTCTGCCACAGATACACGTAAGTGTTTAAAAAAGCAGATAAACCCGATGATGATTTACCTCATGTCTAAAACTAAATCGAATGTGAATTGCCAGTGTATGGGTATAGTGTTTTCATTTGGTATGGTATGAAGGTAAGTAAAGCCGTAAATTCCATGAATAAAATGTAAGAAATCTGCAGAGAAACTGCACTTTGCATGCCTGACATTCCTATGTAGACAGTTTGTTTATTATTGCCTTGTAACTGTGAAATTTAAATGGTGTTTAATGCTGCCTAGACTTTCACTGGAATTTATGAGCTGTTAAAGGTGTTGTCTGTTACACTTTGTATGGGATCAGTGTGGTATTTCCTGTATAGAAGCAGCACACTTTTTTAAAGGAAATGTCCCCTCATTTAAAGAAGTTGTCCCTGTCGCCAAACTAATCTTTATAGACTCACCTTTGACACTATAGGCAGCCTGTTACATAAAACAGTCAGAGTAGAATGCCCTTATTTGGGATTTTGGAGTCAGATAATGAAGAACAAATTATGGTTGGTCTGCATGGAGCAAAAATAAGCAGTGCAAGTCTTTGTTCTTTCCCGTATTTCAAAATCGCTGTTTATACAAAGTTGTAGAAAAAGGTTGAAATGAACTACTCCCCGAAGTCTCCCTAGAGTTCTACCGACACTCTTCTAGTGTGGTACAATAAGGGAGAAGTATAAATAATACTATTATGATGGGTTGCTTAACCCAAAAGAATACTTAGCTTTTGCTTTTTGAGCCAAGACCCCAGTCTGTCTCCAACTCCCACACATGAAAATGAGGAAAATGTAATATGAGGTTCATTGGGATGGCAATTGGAGCAAAGACAAATGTAATTAATTCGTAATAAAAATGTTTCCACTTAACACAAGCCAGTTTTCCCACTGGCTGAGGATAGATTTTAGCTATCTATGCAACACAAAACTGAATCAGTTAAAGAGAAACTGTCAAAAAACAGGCCTGTTTGTTGTAGGAAGCTCTTGTCAATCTAATGTAGCTTTGATTTACTCGTTTTCTATTTTTGAAGCCACAGGATTTGAAAAAATCGACATATTATATAATGCTCCGCTTTTACATACAAGCACACAGGAAGGTCACGTAAAATATATATTTATGTTCAATTCCATGTAGTGGTAAGATAATTTTAAAATGTATTTTTAGTGAATATCAACAGACAGAAAAAAACAATTTCTTCATTGTATCATCGTCCTTAGGTTTTTAATATTTTGCTTCATTTATATGTCTGTTTTTTCTTTGTTGTTTATGATATATATATGTCATGATTTGGTAATGGTTAGTTGATCCAAAAGCAAAGGCAGGGAGGCAGAGGTGAATTTCTTGTGGATTTAATGATGAGGCGGGTAATCCAAAGACCAAATACAAAAACAAAGTCCAAACAAACAGGAATCAAAAATCCAAAAATGAAAACAAAGTCCAAACTAACAGGAAACCAGGAGTCCAAAAATGCAATAATCAAAACAAGAAAACAAGTCAAACGAACCAGAAACCGTGGAGACATCAGGGAAATCACAATCACAAGGAAGAAGGCTCAGAGAGATGGAGTTGGAGGAAGTTTGACGAGGACCCAGAAAAGAAGAACTGAACAGAGAGTGTATTTAAGGGAGACTGAAACAAAGAGAGAGCTAACGAACAGATTGGGAACAGGTGTGCATAGAGCAGAACAGAAAAGGAGCTAGGGAAAAAGGAGAACACAAGAGGGGAGCAGAGGGCTACAAATAAAAACCTAGAAAACTGAAAATAACCAGAAACACAACAACATAAAAATGTAAACCACTAGGACTATAAAACAAGGAGTAAAGCAAAACTGAACACTCAAAAGAAAACATAACAGAACCGACACTAAGACAGTAACTGAGAAAAAAAACCAAAGAGCAAAACAAAATAAGACTAAAACCATAAAAAAACTGGAAAACAAGGAGCAAAGCAAAACTAAACATCCAAAAGAAAAACATAACAGAACAAGAACTCTAACAATATATGGTGCAAATGCTGCATATTTGCACAATATCTATTAGTAATCTCAATCTTCCATATCAATGCGTTTTTTGCACCATGTTTTTTCCCTCAGACAGTTTACATTTGATCACTGCTGGACTTCATGGAATGGAAATGTTCATTTCCTGTCTGAAAAGCTGTAGTAAACAAAATTTCGTTTTGTATGCACTCTTTGCATCCAAAATAAAAATAAATGTCGTCTAAGTCTAAGTCACATTGTTCTGCTGCAATTTCCTAATTTATGGATCAGTTCTTTTTGCAAATTTTTGCATTTGGTGCATATTTTCCAATAATTTTATGTTTGATTTCTTCCTTGTGTTCATCCTCTGTCTCTCCTCCCTCAGCTCTCTCTTCCTTCATTGGTCTCAGCTGATACTTATTCTGATTGCTCAAATGTGCCTGGACTGACTTCTTTCACACGTCTTATCCATATAAGCTCCCTTTTTTCTTCTGAATGTGTTGGATTCTTCCATTTGCTTCATGTTTCCCTACTGCCTGCAATGGGGACTGGAGGCCTGATCCTCTTGCACAGAGACTGAATGGTCTTTAGAAAAGGGGGCCCAACTCCATTCTCAGTCCCTTAAGCCTTGCAAAGAGCTTTTTGTCCTTCTCAATTACTTTAGCCTGGATGACGAGCAAGTTCTATTTTGAGCACCCAGTCTCTGCTTCCACCAGGGAAGGCATGAAGCAAAGGTTGACTAGATACTCAATGGAGTCATTCCACAGTATGACAATGTTCTCAATCAGGATGAGCAGCTCCCCCACCCCTGACTGTTAACATTGTTTCCTGCTTCCCCCTCTTGAGACCTCAGAGTTTGCAGGAATCACTTTGAGGTAATTGATAGTCCTTCTACTTGGCCTCACTAAACTGCTTCCAGGCATTTGTCCTTACAGCACCTCTTAGCTGACACAGGAACCCAACAGACTAACTAAGCCTATCGGGAGTCCTTCTGTAGCTTGACAGCAGCCTTAATGCCAGTGTCCACCATGGGATTTGGGGATTTCAGGCACAAAAGTTACAAGTGACTGCTAAACAAAAAACGGTCCACTTAGACACCATGTCCCGAGCCTCTTAAGAAAAACACCCCCAGATGGGGAAGTTTATTACTTCCCTGACCAAGGACCCTGCCTGACATTCACAACAGACTTGATTTGGACTGCTGAGTCTGTCCATCTTCCTCCTCTTCCAGTTTATCCAGCTCACCACCACTTTGAGATTTGTGGATGGCTATCTCTTCAGCCCCTCTCTTTACCTCTTTATCTGAGTGTCCAAGACACATGGCCAAAAGTCAGAAGATACTGCTTGTAAGTGGAACATTTGATTTCAACCTTGAGTGTCCGCATGCAAAGTGTAATGATGCTTGTATCTTATGCTTGAACATGGTGTTCATTATGGTCAATCCATGACCTGAACTTAAGTCCAATAATGAAAGACCATTCCTACTGATTACACTCCTCAGGCATCACTGTCACTTCTAACAGTTGCATTGAATTCTCCAACTAGGACAGGCATCCCCAAACTCGGTCCTCAAGGCCCCCTGTCCTGCAGGTTTTAGAGGTTTCCTTGCTCCAGCACAGCTGATTTTAATTGAAAGCTGATTAACAGGCTTTTGGTCTACTGCAATCATTATAACCAGCTGTGCTGAAGCAGAGAAACCTCTAAACCCTGCAGGACAGGGGGCCTTGAGGACCGAGTTTGGGGATGCCCGGACTAGGAGATATGCCCCCCTTGGCCCATAGGCCAAGACAACAGTCAGACCCCCCTCCCCAATCAAGCCAAATGTTAGATCCATCAGGGTGAAACCAGACACAAGACAGCTAATCTAGGTGGAGACAAGCCACTGGGGTTTTCGCTTTATGTCACTTCTTTGGGCTTTGCCCAGGCAGGTCCCTCAAGGAGTAACAACACCACCAGGTGCTTGCCTAAAAATCTGAAACAAAGATCTGGCGCCAGGATGAGGTCCGGATTCCACCTTGCCAGGCAATATCAATAGCATCGGATTCTTGGTCTTTGTGTGGACTTGTGATCCGCACTGTCTGGCTCATCATCCCAAGCCTGTCTATCTTGGGAAACCTGAGAACATTGTCTCTGCGATAATCTGAGCACTGAGACCCCTTCACCACATTAAGTTGGTGGTTCAAAGAGCAGCTCATTTGCTTTTAGGGTATTTTAACCATCATCAACTCACCATATAATTCTTGAGTATTTAGGTTCTACAAGCAGCCATCAGATCATGTCAGATTGGGTGAGGGGCAAACTGGTACAGAAAACTGACCCATGCACATGTACAAGTTGCTCACATCCTGTTGGTGTGCTGCAGATGTGCGTCAATGTAAAACATATTGTTGAAGTTTTCTCCCTACCAGTGAATGTGCCATAGCTGTTTATCTACCATCATTGGTAGCCCTGCTGCAAGCCTGTACATTCATGGCAGTCTCTGCTGTGGGTGAGGAGGTTTGGTAGGGATGTGGTAAAGCGGGAACAAGGGGATGGCCCTGTAAAAGGTGCTCATTCACAATTTCATGGGGAACATTGAATAAGAATGACACCTCGTCAAGGTTTGGTTGTGGTTTGGAGGACCCAAATGCAGAGGCAGAGAGACTGAGGAGATTTCTAGGAGTTTTAATGGGGCAAAAACAGTAAACAAAGGCAGGAATAAAAAAATCCAACCAATAATGAAAAGCAAACCAGAACTATGGAGATATCTGGGGAAACCAAACACGAGGAGCCAGGGAAAGACGTGGTAGGTAGACAACAGCATGGGAGGACAGCAAAGACAAGGAACCAACAAAGAGTGAGAGCAGAGGGAGAGCATATGTAGCTGACAGAGATAAAGGCAGGGCTAACGAGCTGACAAGGAGCAGGTGTGAGAGGAGACAACGAGGGAGCCAAGGGGAAAGGAACACACACACACAAGAGGGCAACAGAGGACAACAGAAAAACATGAGAAGTAACATAAATCTAGAAATTACAACAAAAAAGGAATTAAACCAATAAAACTATGAAACATGGAGCAAAGTAAAGCACAATAGAAACAAGACCATGACACACCTATTTTATACATTTTATCTGTTACCTCTCCTGAAGTCCCTACATTGGCTTCCTGTTGCCTCCAGGATAAAGTTTAAAATCCTGGTCCTTACTTTCAGGGCCCTTCATGGACACGCGCCGGGCTACATGACAGGTCTGATCCAGCCGTATACTTCGGTCCGTAGCCTAAGGTCTTCAGGTCAAAACCTGCTTATGGTTCCTCGGACCCGTTTTAAAACCCGAGGAGACTGGTCCTTTAAAGCGGTGGCACCCCGTCTCTGGAATGAACTTCCCCTGTCCCTGCGCTCTATGGACTATCTTTAAAAATCTTTATTCAATTACTTATTTTAGCTTTTACTGCATTTTATCTGTTTTTACTTGTGTTATTTATATGTTATCATGTGAAGCACTTTGTGACATTGTCTGTGAAAAGTGCTATATAAATAAAGTTTACTTACTTACTTAGTTCCAGATTTGCAGCCTCATAAAGCACAATAAGGCTACTGTCTGCCAGTACATTGTTATTTATGGTAGGCTAGACCCTCCCACAGGTTGAAGAATAGCGGCTGATTTAATTTGTGATTTTTCAGGCTTTTTTTTTTTATGATTTTGGTGCGGCAAGTTAATAGGTTAAGATGTCATTTTTTTTGTTGAATATACTTTAACTGACCATGGAAACTGATATATTTAAGCGACTTTTGTCATATTTTCTTTACAGTTCTCTTGAAATGATTGTCGGATTAGAAAGCAACAGCAAAATATTCACCGTCAATGTTCAGGGACTGCTTGAGCTACAGGTGAGAGAAAATCCAACAATACCAGGATAAAATGGTCAATTTATTTTTCATTAACAGTCGACCTTGACGATACTCTATGTGTGTTTCTCTGCAGGTTGGCGAATACACTTCCATATATGTGGATAATGCAGCAGGTGCTTCTATTACAATACAAAGTGGCTCCGATTTCATGGGTATACTGCTTGGTGAATAGCCTACCTCTGAAGAAGAGCCTCCTCCACACCATCCACTGGTGTCACATGGTTCTTTGTATCTTTGAATGAATTGCATCTCAAAACCATGACACAAGACAGAAACCACATGGGATTTTTGAAGGAAAGATGAACGGCTAAAATATTGACAATACTGCCCCTCAAATGGTGAGAGGACACTTTGAAGAACTTCAAGGCTGTTTGTTTTTCACAATGCACTGCCACTTCATGGGAAACTTGGATGCATGCTGCCTCACGTATAAAATAACCTGAACATTACAAGGAGATTATGTTTGCATCAGTATATTATATGGCTTTTTAAGACGTGTGCAGTAAACCAAACATTATTCTTGTTCACTGTAAACCTTGGAAAAGCTAAAGAAAATTCTATTTCACAGTCATCCTTATAATATATATTGGTATGTATTGGTTTTTTCTACAGTGTTTGTCATTTACACAACTTTGAGATGGTATTTTTGAATTTTAAAATCACAAATATATGTATAAATATATGTATATTATATGGTGCATAGACTGTGAGTACACTGGATGTTTGATGCTAAATAGGCCTCATTAGTTGGCAACATACAGTCATCGGAAAAACTAAGTAAATCCTTGGATTCAATAGGTTGAATCTCCCCCACCACCAATTCCTGTAATTCCAACACTTTTATTAGTAATAAGTGTCAGTTTTCTTCTATACGGCAGAGGAATACCTTTGGTCTTTTCTCTTTACAACATTACTGAAGTTCATTGAGTTTTATTGGCAAGCGTATCTATCGAGCTGCACCATAGGATTTCAATCAAGCAGGGGTCAGCAATCGGGTGGGCCATTTCTTTCTATGCCTTTTTTTAGTTGAATTGCTGCTGTGTTTACATAATTTGCATCTTGATGGGTTAGGCAAATTCTCTCCGTGTATTTATGCAACAAGCCCAAACCAACACACCTCCAATACTGTGCTTTAACATTTTGTTTGTACAGATACATTGTGTTTGGTTTGGCCAAACATAGGCTGTTCCAGGGCACGATAACTTAAAATCTTTCAAAAACTAGCATTTTATTGCTAGAGAGATTAGAAATTCATCAGTCTTTCTAACTTGTAAACAATATTTTTTTTTTATAAAATGTTGATGTTGGACCTAAAAACAGCTTTATCCATTCAGACCGCTTTAATTAGCATTTCCATAACTAGTGGTGGGTAGTAACTAGTCACATTTACTGGAGTAACCTTTTGTTTTTGCTTTTTGGAGATCACCAGGTTGGTGCTTATGCTAGGTTGAAGTATGAAGCAAACAATATTTCTTCCAGAATTTAACCTTTGTGGGAAAAAAAAAAGACTCTTGAAAACAAATTAGCAAAAATAAAATAGAAACAGTACTTTAACTGTCAGATTTATGTTTTGTTTGAGCATGATTGGCATTAATAAATAAACGAGCTGTGGGTTTAAATTGAAAGGTTTTTTTCTGTCAGGGCAAGCCAGCTAACCTGACTCCGCCAGATGGATTTACTCCGCATATCCATCTGGAAACCTTTTTTTGGGAAGGGGCGAAAATACTGGTTAGCTGATTGGCCTATGTTGGTGATAGACGGGCCAAATAAACCAATCAGATCAACGAAGCATATGACGTACTAAGAGCGACGACAAAGAGGAGCCAATTGATAGATCAAACTCTTGCCGAAACCAGTCGGGAGAAGAGCAAAAACATCTTTTCCTCTGAGAAAAGCCTCCAGAGCAGTGTTTTGCTCTTCTTTCAGTGAAGAAATACTCTGTAATTCCGATAAAACTTGGTCTTACGAGGCTACAAGCCAGCTACTCAAAGATGAAAATATATTGACTATGACCATAAATCCTGTGACATTAGGGTTAGTAGATAGCAGATTAATGAAGCGAATCCATGATTGCATCAACTGGAGTTACTTAATGATGGGTCATAGAATATAATGTAACACATGTAACAGAGCCATTTTCTTGTTCTCTTCCCACTTAGCTGATACTTATCAAGCTATACTTGTATCAGTCATGACTTTATATTTATATCAATCTTTCTGTCATGCATTATCCCTGCCTTGGTCATGAGGGGTGCTGGTGCCTATCTCCAGCTGTCAATGGGCAAGATGGAGACAAACAGGACAAACAACCATTCATCCACACACTCACACCTAAGGAGAATTTAGAGAAGCCAATCAACCTAACAGCCATGTTGGACTGTGGGAGGAAGCCGGAGTACCTGGCCCAAGCATGCACTGGGAGAACATGCAGAAAGACCTCAGGCAGGGGATAGAACCTGGAACCTTGAAAAGACTCTCATAAAAACAAGAAAACAAATATAGAAGGAATTTGGTATGTAGTGATTAAATGTAGGTAGAGAAGAAGGTTTCACTCAAGTAAGAGTAGCATTACTTGAATATATATTTTTACTCAGGTAAGTAGAAGGTACTCCTTCGACAAACTAGTATAGTAAGAATATAAAAGTAAAACTACTACTCAAGCACTTAGAAATAACTGGCTTGTGTTTTATGATTTAATGTTCAACATTCTGTAATCAGACAAAGAGTTTGGGGGGAAATCTGGTATTTTAAAATATGAATTTAGATAAAAATGAATACAAATCGATGACATGATTACAACCATTCCTAAAAGTACATTTTGTTACTGAGTTCATGTGACTTGTTACTAGTTGCTGAGTAAATGCAAATAGTTATTACCTACCTCTTACGCACTTAAATAAAAGCCCCAGATTATGTAATTCCATATTGTGCAGTTTGTGCTGATGCAGTGATTGGCTTCACTGAGTTCCTGAGTCTCTTTGTATTTGCTCTAATGTTCCTGATTGGTTTTCCTGATAGAAGTGGGATAAGCAGTGCATTCGCCAAGTTGGGATCCGTAGCAATAGTGGCTCCTCTTTAACTTGTACTGCATGAACAAAGTCCTGTGGAGGACAACAAACCCTTGTCGTTTTCACCAATCATGCCAAGTCGTTTCTTGTGCCCTGCAGCTGAGACACAGGATGCAACTGTGTCTCAGCTGAACTTTCAGCACTATAAAAAGTTTGTGAGCAGCTGATTAGTAAGGCCGATTTATTTCAGCTTTCAGTTTTTGGACCTTTGTTACCGGGTGGGAGGTGATGCAGCGCTTAGCGTGCTACCAATAGCATGCACTTTAAATTACTCTTTTGCTTTAGGCTCCATTTTAGATTAAGACTTGCTTTAAAACCCCTTTCTTTATCTGCTAGCTAGTAATGGCATTGTTGAGGATACAGAATGCCTCTAAGGCTAGCCAATGAGACAGACGGTGATATGGATTGGTAGGTGGGAGTTTGCGATATTCTGAAAAAATCCCCCAGTAAAGTTTCAACGTTTTTTTTTTTAATAGTTCCCATTCCAAAATATGTATGTATATGTATGGGTAATTTTTGCCCTCTGCATATTCTGTTGATGTACAATTCAGATAACATCGACTTTTTACTTTGATTCAATGTCAATTAATGCAAAATAAAAGCTGGCATATACTATCGTTTTGAAGAGCAATCGATTGATCTTTCAACAAAATTTGATTCCGAGAAGCTGTGGTTACTGATCATGGTTTATGTTCTGTTAGCAACAAATGTGTTGCTAACTATTTACAATAAAAAGCAGCAAGAACTTGCCAGCAAATACCTGTATCCTATTTATTGTTGATATGGACTCTAATGAGAATATCAATTACATCAACATTTTATATTTTCTTATTTGCTTGGATCTCAGTTATTACCTTTTCATATATGTACTATCTTAATACACTACAATTACAAATAAAGCTGCTCTCGTTCTTCTACAATTCTTCTATTTTTTCACACAACTTTTTTGTCATCTATTAAAGTATTGGTGAAATTAAACAAAGTTGTACGCCAGTAACACACTTGTGCCAACAAAATGGAAAGGGTACCCGAGTGTATGGATTTAATTTAGACAATTTTTTCTGAAAGTAATCAAATCCCCTCTAAAAAACGGTTTACAAGCTTCAGGAACTCAATAAAATTACTCTACTGTTGAGTCAGCAAAACCATGAGGAGCCTCCATTTTAAGTCTGTCTTACAAGGAAAAAAGAAGAAAATAGCTGCAGTAGATCCCTCTGTCCCTTAAACTAGTCAACTTTTCCATCATTCAAATTTAAATGTAAGCTAATTTTTTATTTATTTATATAATAAGGATGTGTTTATTGTTTAAAGGTGGGTGAAAAAAAACTATTTTGGGCAGTTTTTAAAATAAAGCTGAAACTTAAAACCCCTCGTCCGCTATAGCTTTCAAAAAGACATCAGAGGACGTTATGTCAAAATAGGTAGAAGTTTCGAAATGCAATTAATTTCTTTAAAATTTAGATAAAACCTTCTTCCATAAGACAAAAAGAAAGACCCATGTTTCAATGGCAACCAAGTTTTATTGCATGAGTTGTGGTTTTTAGGGTGATGCACAGTGTTTTGAACCAACTGAGTGTTTTGGAATCGTCCACAACTCTTCTCATCGTCTTTCACTTCATCCGGGTCGCAGGCGCAGCAGTCTAAGCAGAGATTCACAGACTGTCCTCTCCAAAGACACCTCCTCCAGCTCTGCTGGGGTAAGCCCTAGGTGCTTCCTGGCCAGCAAAGAGACATAGCCCCTTCAACGTGTCCTGGGTTCTCCCCTGGGCCTCCTCCCAGTGGGGCGTGCCTGGAACACCTGCCATGGGAGGCATTCATGGGTCATCCGAAGAAGATGTCCGAGTCACCTCAGCTAACTTCTCTGGATGTGGCGGAGAATCAGTTCTACTCCGAGCCTCTCCAAAAGGATTGAGCTCCTCATCTCTAAGGGAGTACCCAGCCACCCTGTAGAGGACGCTCATTTCAGCCGCTTGTATCTGGGATCTCGTTAATTCAGTCATGATCCAGATTTCTTGACCATAGGGGAGGTTAGGAAAATAAAACGACTAGTAAATTGAGAAATTTCCCTTTTCTTTCAGCTCTCTCTTTACCATGACAATGCATCTCCTTCTGCATTTTCCCGTCACTCATTAACAGGACCCCAAGATCCTCCAATTGAGGCAGGAGGAATTCTCATCAACAGGGTTCTGAAAAAAAAGTGCCATGTTTAATTTTGTTTTCTTGATTAAATCCTCCTCAATCTAAAGTTTTAAGCAACCACAAACCAGTGTTGTAGTACTCGAGATCGGTCTTGGTCTCGAGACCATTTTTTGATGGTCTCGGTCTCGTCTCGGACTTGACCGCGTTTGGTCTTGGGTGCTGAGGACTCTGCATTTTATTTCAAGACCGGTCAAGACCACAACTGTGGAAATAACGCTAATCATCAGAATATTATCAGTTTCTTTAAGATCCTTGTTTTTATTGGATGCCTGAATTCAAATCCAATAATAACCTGTCTCATTGGTAAATGCATGTACTTTTTTTTTTATTTTATTTTTTTTTTATTTTTTTACTGCTGTCACCTGCAGCACTTCGATTGAAAGTCACAAGTGGTTGTCTGAGAACGGGATAAGATGTCGGCCAAATCATTGGTGATAAAATTCGGCTATTTAAATCACAAAGAATATATTTGTAAAGCAATATTGAGAAAAAAGCATACAGCGCAATGTAAATTCTGCAGTGCTTCACTATAGAGTCCTGCACGGGTCGAGTTTGCCAACCCGCACCCGCCAGAACCAGTTAGGATGACTACCGAACCTGACCCGTCACCCGCAGATATCTTCAATTCAAATCCGAACCCGACCCGACCCGTTGATATTTAACCCGCAACCCGACCCGTTAACACACCAAGTAATAGGCTATAGTACGCTGCGCTGCAGAGCAGCGCCATTAACACTGCAGCAGACGTGACTGTGGCCTTTTTGGAGGGAAGCCCACACTGCCGGCAGGGCTTTAAGCTACAACAAGGGTGACCCCAGTGCCTGATTAATATAACATTTCTGATGTCCATAACAACACACATGCATAAAAAAAAAAATCACCAACTACCCGCCGCACTAAAAAAATATCCACCCGACCTCGCGTACCCGTTTATTTTATTTATGTATTTTTCACCCGCAAAAGAGCATTTTAGCAGGTCACCCGTCGGGGACCCGCGGGTACCCGACCCATTGCAGGACTGTACTTCACTATCAGAGACGGTAGGGACTACGTCCAACCTTAAACTTAAAAGATGTTTTTGTTTATTCCAGTTCTGTGTGTTAATTATCTAGGTGTTTTTATGTGAATGTGG